AGTAACAGGTGGTTCTAGGATCTCGGAATTGGGTGTATATTTTCCCGATGAGTTGGAACAGATAGATCACAGAGGATGAGGCTAGACACAATTTTAAAACACAAAGAACTAAAAATTAATCTAACGTTCTCAATTAGCAATACAAATAAAGAATACAATATATTAAACAATAAATTATTGGGCAAGTGATCATGTGTTTGTGTGTGGTTGACAATAGCTGAAGGATATTTTATTGGGCAAGTGATCATGTGTTTGTGTGTAAGTGTGTGATTGACAATAGCTGAAGGATATATTAAGTTTCTCTCTATGGATAGGCCAAGGTGCGCATTTCACGACCTTTTACAGAGTTACATTCAAAATTTAATTAAACAAATTTATTATCAAAGTATATGAATAAATTTGGAATCAAAACATTGTTAATAAATCTAATGTTAATATTATATTAGTTTTAATTTCAAATGGAAATGTTTACATAGATCCCCAATCTCCCCTTGTATGTGCATTATATCATTTGTTTGCTCTAAATTGCCCTTCTTCTATTTTTTTCATCACCCCTCTCTGATGTACTGAATTTATCATAAGGTACTAATTGTAGTACAAATATTGCTAAGGCATAGTCTAATTTTTATAGCCTTCAATTTTCTTTGTTTAACCCTACCGCAACGGGCATCCTTTACTGCGCATGACACAAGGTTTTTGTGTCTTATATTCAACATTTTATTAAACTACTTTTTGTTTATGTTATACCAATTAGAATAGCATAAAATCTTAGCTAATAATTCATGTGTTAATGGTATATATATGTTTTAAGTTCTTAATTTTATAAGGCAATATTTAAAAAATCCCAAATTCCCCTAGTGTGACACACATTATCTTCTCTTTTCTATTTTATACACCACCCCTCAAGTAACTAAGAAATTAAACGTAAATTACTCACTATAATTAATTTCATTAGCAGGCAAATAACAACAATAAGAAGCCAAATGTTGATACTATATTGTTTGTTATTTATGTATATATTTTTTTATTTTTTTTTATCAAAGTAACTAAAATATAAATATTACAAACTTATTAGGTTGGATGAAAAATAATAATAATAAAATTTCTCCATGAAATATGCTTGAGTAGCTCGTAACTTGAGCTATACATTTACTGTATGACTTATAACTTCTTATTATTAGTTTTATACGTTTCATAGGGTAATAAAACAACAAAATTAAGTAGAAACAGATGTAAACTTTTACGAACCTTAAACTGTTTAAGATATATAACTAATTTTCTGTTATAATCCACAGACATTTTTATAAAGAAAAAAGGTAGTTTAGAGTTATTTTGTGTATTTGTGGTAATTACAAGGTCAGTCAAATTGACCGAGCTCATTTTTTACTGAAATAAAACGTTTGAGGTTCATTTAGGAAATTCTAGAGGTTATGCAAACGAAATCTGAAAATGCAAGGTAATGAAAAAAACATATTTTTAATCGTAACCTGAAAATCATCTTGCACTCAGACTATTTAACACTTGGAACTCCGTATATTCATGAACAAATCTTTAGCAAAATACTTAATGAAAAACTCTAATTTGTTTATATGAAAAAAAGACTTGTAATGTTTACTAAAATTTACCAAATTTCGTGAAGATACATGCACAACATTAAAAGTTATAGTATGAATACCTTCATGGTTATCTGGTGGTTATAAGGTTGGTCAAAATGATCAAATCCTTATCAAGTGAGTTAATAGGGGAGTTGTTGGCAGTGCATGTAGGTTCCCCTTGTGAGTTAAACTAAGTGAAACAACGATAAAATGGCTAACTGAAAATATACCCCAAGTTAAGTCCAATATTATTTATTTTAATCCATTGAAAAATTCTACATGAAAGCCCAGATCTTAATGGAATTTCACCAATGAAGCTTAAAAAACAACACTTTAAACCTTAAATCACGGAGTCAATGATAACTCTAAACCTGTTGACACTTACTGTGAACAAATGCAATTAAAAACAAACAAGAAACATTAACGTAAAATAACGCAATAACAATACTTCAAATCCTGGTTGCAGTGTACGAAAACCACAGTAATTTTAAACAAAAGGTACTCTTACGAGTTGTACAAATTCTTAATGTAATGTACCCATCAAAGTAAAAGTATAAATAATATATGGCAGAAATTAAAGGGTTCTTCTAACTTACTAAGTCACAACTATGAAAACACTGGGAAAATGAACAGAAAATTATGTAACTTCTGTGTCAGATATGTATCAAAATGCATGTTAATTTTGATCTTTCAACCCCAAACATTGTCTTAAAAGTGTCAGTATACCCTCAAGTTTCTAACAAAAGTAACTAGTGATTATTACTGGTTAGATCAGCTGGCCAACAAGAATTGTAGATTAAAGGCATTTCCATTCTCAATAACTGTCTGATTTTCTGACAAGAATATCCCAGAACCCTAATTAACAATAAATAATCTTGTTGTACTTGTATGAAAGTCAGATAGGTAGGTACAGCTCATACTTAAGCTAACTTACCACGTACAAATAGTGAAATCTAGTAACTCACTGTTCATTGTGTCCAACTGAGGAACTGTGAAAAAAAACCCATAACAAAATGGACACAAAACATAATATGTCCCCATATCACAGAAGTCTATGTAATTATAATCTGTATCAATATATATGTTATACATATATACATATAAGTGGTGTTAAGAAGTTGTTTCTCCCTAGTAGTTGTTCCACACTGAGACAGCATATCGTTATATATATACATAAAATGATGCTATTCTTCTCAGGGTGTGTATTCTTACCATGTGACTGTTGTTCATTCCCATCAGAAAATTAAGGAAGTTATATCCTGGAGTGATCACCTGACCTGTCAATGGATAAGATCTCTGTCTACTTTCGCATAGTATATACAACTTTGTAGAAATCTTTCCCATGAGATGACAAAAATGGAATCTTAGGTGAATGACCCAGAACAATAGACGTCTAAGATGAAATGAACTTAGCTACTTCCTAGACCTTATTAAAACTATATATATGCCTGCATATATGGAAACTCAAACAAATCCTACATTAAATAAGGGGTAGCAAACACATAGAATGCCTTTTTTTTATTTACCACGTGTTTTTATCTTTTCTTAACGTTATAATATTTACTGTAAATTTATTCTTTGTTATGTATATGTCGAAGTTTCGTATAACACATGCTCAAGAAAGCCATAAAATTGATTTCATCATAGCTGCCTTTGTTCATTTGTTGTGCTCAAGTGGGTAATATCTCTTTTGCTTTGGAGGGAGTGGAATAATTGCTACAATACTGCACACTGTAAAGGAAGTCAACAACAATGTCCATTAATGGCCATTTAGGTAATGTTCAGATGTTTTGGCCTCACCTATGTTAAAATGAGAATGATCAGTCACGTGGGTAGGATTTGGCCCTCTGGGTAAATGCGGTGTTTCTTGCAAACTAAGAAACATTGGATTTAGACAGCTTTGAACAAGATCTAAAATGAGAAGCAGCTTTGAGAAAATCTAGTAAAAGTGAAAGTCCATTGTAACATAAAGCATCTACACACTCACATACACTGTGTTTATGTTTAGTGTTTTGAAATAAATTGTGCAGTTTGTATTTTACTTCGTGTCTAGTTCCATTATTCCCCTTAGCATCACAACTCAGTTATTCAAAGGTTTTGTAATCAATATATAGATTAAATTTCCTATTTTTAAGAGGACCTATCCAACTGCTTGATGTTTAGTTCAGTTTTACCTGAATATAAAACACGTGAATAATTTTTTGGCTGATGAGGCCATAGTCGTTTTCTTGTTTAATTTTGTTAATTAAATAAAATAATAATGTATTCATAAAGTATATAAAATTGAAGAGCATATGTTTCAATTTATTCAATAAATCATCATAATTATGTGATTAATTCAGTTAAAACTGTTCTTAGTAAATAGGAGCTGATAGTATTTTGATAATTTTAATCCTCTAACATACAGGCTTATTCCTGAGTCGCCACGGTGGTTACTATCCCAGGAAAAAATGGAAAAAGCTGAAGAAGTCGTGAAGAAACTTATGAAGATTAACAAAAAGGAATGTGCAGATCTTCCGGCTGCATTACAACAAATCGTAAATAAATCGAAGAAGGTTAGGATAAGAATTACAAATAAATATAGGAAACTGTTGGGGCTAAGTTTAAAATACAGATGAGAAAGGAGAATGGTATATTGAAACATTAATTATGAACATTTTTTTAGTTAGTTAACACCTGTAGGTGGAATGATTTAAACATCAACATACTTTCCTAACGTCTTCTATTGTTGCACGGTTTCTTTTGGATCATCTGGCAGGAAAAAGTGCTAAGTCGAGTGTACTTAACGATAACGAATGAATTTATATAGGCTACGTTCACTGGTAGGCTTAACTTCACAAACAACGTTTCAACAAAAATTCCTAGACTAATGATCGATAACATATTGACTCACTAATTAACTAACTGACAAAGAGACTCACTAAGTGACACTGAACTAATTGATTAAGTTAAATTCACACAGTCTGGCATTTTTATATTGTACTTGTCTTCTACTTACAACGAGAAGCTTTGAGATTCCACAGAGGCCTAAACTTTCGTTAAATTTCTTGACTTCACGTAATTATTATATCACATGAAAAATAATTATTAAAAATATAACCTATTACAATAAAAATCTTTATAAATATATGTGTATGTATATTATTTGCTTGATACATTTAGATGTATTATAAAGATAACACAACAGCTGATTTTAATTTTTTCATCTAAAGAAACGCTACACCTTCCTCTTGATGATGACTGTTTTTTAAGTATAATAAAAAAGCTGGGCCACTTCGCACGTGTACATCAGCATGTACATTGGCAATAAAGCATTAGCAAGGTTATATTCTGTTAGCCCCGGAAACAGCTTATACGGAAATCTTATTTTACTAGATATAAATAATTTGAGATTCTCCATTCTAATATATATTGGCTTAAGTAAGTTCTATATTTTAGAAAGTAGAAAACGATGAGAAAAAACGACATGCCAATATGTTGGATCTTCTTAGAACGCCTGGTTTGAGGAAAAACTCTTTGGTGCTTTTCTTTATATGGTAAGTTTATAGTTTATTTAGGGGATTAGGGGAAAAAGTATAATTTATCTTAAATTAAAAACTGTGTAATTTGTCATTTTATAATTGAAATATTGCCCTTCAACCTATTTTTAGTAAATACTTCTAACAAAATTTCAATTATAATATTTTTATAGACAAATATGCGAGTATCTAAAGGTTGATTTTGCTTCAAAAACTACTCGCAAATTTTGAATTGTGGTTTAACTACATATTCTATTTTAATAACTTGTGTTATAATGTGTTATAACGTACAATTTTCTTGTGTAGATTCACACATTTGTAAATCAGAATAGCATTTATTTATTTACTCCCGCTTTGTTATGAAGTGGCTTTGTGTGGGATGTTTAAAATTCATCTCAGATATTTCTAAGTTATCTAGTTTTTTTTCTTTCGGGTATTTGTCTTGTTGGTGCAAAAGTATATATATAGATCTAAACAATAGCCGCAATACTTGAAATTATTTTAGGCAGGATTAGAGTAAATTAACCTACGAGTCCTTGGGCATGTTCAAATACATCAATGGAAAGGGTTTGACCTCCTAAGAGATGACGGAGCTGTGAGGTAAAAGTTTGTACTCAAAAAAACAAACAAACCACAGAGCTATTTCGTGAGCCGCTATGCCGGGCTAAAAATGAATAAAGGTGTTTTCAAAATAAACTATCCAAATGCAAAAAAAGACAAACTATTAAATAAAGCTGTAAAACTTCCTAGCCTTTAAAACTCTTTTGTTATAAAAGAATAGAAAAGTGTGAGCTCTTCAAAAGTCTCTAAAAACATTAGACGGTGGAGAAATTCAATATATTAAAATGATTAGATGTACTAATTAATTACACTATTATTCTTTATATTATGATTATTATAACATTCATTATCGTTGTTCTTTTAAAAACACCGAACAGATATATTTCAGATACAGATGCTACTTACTAAACTAGAGATTGGTCGAAAGGAGGTTCGATTTTGTTAAGAGACTGTTAAAGGAGTTGAAGGGGCATTAGAGAGGGAGCCCTGGTTACAACCTGAATTCTAATATAATTTCCTCCCACATCTTAAGATATATATAGCAAAGCTGCTTACAGTATGTAAGTCGAAAGTATACCGTGGGTGAGTACCAGTCCAGAACTGGTTCATAGTAAGGTTCATGTCAGATTGAAGAAACACACTAGAAAACGAAAGGTGTTTATAGATATAAAACTATAACGTCACGCTCGTTAGTTTTTACAGCAATAGATTTAAAGTTCCTTGGCCAACACTCTATCAGTAACCTAGTTGACTAGTGAAGGTTTCCATGAGACATGGCAACGGTTGTTAACTGCTTAAGATGTGAGAGGTTTTCACAATACAAGAAATACGTTACAAAAGTAAACGTTTCTAATCAGCAACACATTAACCCTTCACTACGTTGTGCCGTGCAGTTGTCTAGGGTGCGATACGTACGTGTTGCTTAGAACCGAGAGCATATACTAACTTTCTTTCCCTATATCCCGATACAGATGTAGTATCCTTGGCTGCACATATAATGCATCCCAGGGAAATCCCCAAATCTTCTAGTGATTATGAGATAGTATTATAATATAGATTGTTTGTTTGTTTGTTTTTGGAATTTCGCGC